AAATGTCGCATAATATATGCTTTGCATGATCATGAGAGGCAGGAGTTTGCCTAAAAGGAGGAGTAGAGAATTAAATCCACATGGTAGGGCTTCCATCCGAGTTGATGGCTTGCTTGAATTATTTATATACTTATTGTCCCACTGGTTCAACAAGGGACTCAAACCTAGCTAGCTATCCACTGGTTCAATGAGGAAGCTAGTTTAAGGAGTATGACACCCCATAGTGTGACAAAATGGGGAAAACCATGTTTCACAAGTGAGATGGGTAAACCTTGGTTGGGTAATCCCCTCACAAGTGTTTAGGCTAGGAAAGTCCTAGATTATAGACTATCCTATTATGTTATAGCTCACGGTTTCATGTCAGAGGAATAAGGAGGATATAAGAGAGGTATGATCATGTATATAGTGAATAAGGAAACATAGTTATCTGTGTTGTGACCCGAATGATGATAATCATGAATTGAGTCTTAATCACTTTAGAGTATATGTCATTTGATTGTGTTACAAACTTTATTCTGCATAGAAATTGTTAAAAGGCATTACTTCCCAAATATATGCTATTACGCCTAGAAATGTGAATTTATACTCTTAAACGTTTTATACGGTTTGGAGAATTGATTATATTTGCCACTTGCATTTAAATTAATTGATATGCATTAGTATAAGTTAGTTAGACCTTAATTACTGAGTAGTTATATTCACCCCACTATCTTCAACAGTATAGGGAATAACTTAAGAGGATCGAATAGAGGAAAGCAACTAGAGGCTTAGGACTGTGATCCTATTTAGTAGGCCTCTTTATTTTTTTGTCATTATATATATGTGACAATTGAAATTGCTAACTAGGATTAGTCCATTTTTGGTTCTTACTTACATTATATATTTTGTGAGTTGTAAGTGTATTTTGGGCCCTAGGGAGTGAGTCTATGAAATGTGATATCTGTGATAAGACCAAATACTAATGCAAGTAAGAGTTGGGCATAATATGTGGTGATTGTGAAACATTTAATGAAAAGTGACTTAAACTCCCCCTTGTATGTTTTTGAGATTAAGGGATCGAGTAGTGAAATTGTGATCTATAAGTGTTTAATATGATGTGATGCATTGCACAAGCTAGTTTTGGTGTATTGCATGTGGTCTAAGTGGTATTAACGGCTATTGGCTTTTGGTGAATGAGTTAGATACTTAGTTTTGAGAAACATGTTGAAAAAGTATAAGTTTTGAAAAGAGTGTCTAAATTTTGATTGTGTAATAATTTGATTATGAAAGTAAGGCCATTAGTTAGATTTTGGAAAGGGCTTTCTGTAGATACTTAGTTCACGTCAATCGACGTCTGATGGAGGAATGAGGTGTATCAAAAGTTTGCCCCAGAAGCTGTTATTTGATAGCAGAAAGTTGCTATAATGATACATGTAATGTGCCGTGGCGCATGGTGCTATGAGTCATGGCCCATGGCATATAGACGAACACGTCGCAGCTCATGTTCAATGAGCCGTGGCATACGCCTTAGTTTTGTTTGAATCACTTTGTTTTCTTGATTCTTTAGCAAATGCACTAATGTTTGAAATGATCCCATGCTTCCGCATAATTTGTGAACTCTAATTTATTTCTTTCAAAGATCATTGGGAATGGTTTTAGTTTTGAAAACTTAGAATCCCAACTTTTTATATTGATTTGTAAACTTGGTATTATGTTATTTACCTTAATCTAATCTTCTATTAATTGAGATTTAGAGTTAATCAGGGTTAGAAGAAGGAGGATATTACATATATATATATATACATATCATATATATATAGACATGAATATATATATCAAAAATATATATAATTATATTTTGAATTTTATATTTCATATAAATATATAGATATATAAATATTTATCAAATAAATATTCAAAATATATATATATATATATATAGTTTGTTCACCATAAAAAAGTATTACATTTATTGAATTTAGACACATTCCAGATTAAATGAACTTGGATATTATAGCCCAAGTTGGGCTATTTTTTATGTGCAACCTTATAGGCCTAAATGAAATTGGCAGTAGGCTAATTACGCTACTAGCCTACAAGTCACAAGTGGCTTCTAGCAAGATATTACAACTACCTAATTCATATAGGGATCAATGATCTGATGTAACCTATCATGTAACCATATCACATCCCTTTTGTCACGCGATATTTCGATCGTGTATGAGGCATGGAATTGTCATTCTCCTTTACCTAACCATTACTTTCTTGATCTTTGAGTGTACTAATTATAACAATAGAAAAACTCTTTCTATTATCGTATGGCCATATATTTTCTCAGTCTTACTCATCGAGGAGCCTAATAATATCTCTCAATTAGCATGAGGGATAAATCTTATCTTGATCACTCATATTCCTTTGCATGATATTATTAAACTTGATCGTAGCCTTTATGATCACCAATCAAATGTGACTTTTGACTAGGTTAAAGTTCAGTGGTCATCATGTAGGAATCCATGATGATCTCAAGTCAAAGGGCTTAGTAATATGGTTACATATAAGATAAGCTTATGTACTATGAAACTTTTTCATAGTGGGTTGGTCTAGCACCTCAAACCCTATGTACTTAGGGCTTTGATTTATATCTCAATAATTAATTAAAGTCATACTAGTCTTGTTTCATCTATGATCTCTCATAGATGACCAATTAGGGACATTTATGACAATTAACATATTTTTTCTAAGTATACATCTATTATAGTGAACATGCAATTAGTATAATAACAAAAGAGAAGTTCTATAAATAACAATGTTTATAGTACAACGATTGGCCCTATGATATAATTTCCAACATTTATGGACTTCTAGATATCTTTCACAATCTCTGAAGGTATACTTGATAATTTTAGAAAGTGAGCTAGGTTTAATAAAGCATCAAGAATTCTTAAATTTGAATGGATGTCAAGTTTGAACACAGAAGGTGTGGCAAGTAAGAGGTAGCACACCATTAGCATAGAGCTTGTTCCTAAATCTAAAATATTTTGGAGAAATATCATCCAAAGACCCCTAGAGAGTTTTTATGTCAAAGAAAGTCATTAAAAAATTGAAATTTCATTACACTCTCTTGATACCTTTTTTAAAATAAGATTTTATAAGAAAAGACATAATTACCCCTAAATTTTAATAATTTCATTATGTATATATATAATTAGTTGTCAAAACCCAAATGGATATTTATTTATATAAGACCAGCACTTGTATTTAAACATGTGCTATCAGTTATAATTACTTGTTAATTATAATGGATTGTTATTAATGACATATAGTTACTTGTGAAAACCGAAATGAATGTTTGCTTACACAAGACCAGCAGTTGTGCAATTAAACTTTTGCCATTAGCTATAGTCATTTATTAATTATGAATGGATTGTTATTAATTATGTAAAGTTACTTTGTTAAAACTCAAATGAATAATTGCTTATATGCAAGACCAACACTTATGCAATTAGACACGTGCTATTAGTTTTTGCAACTTGTTTATTTCTGAAGAGATTGTTATTAATTACGTATGATTACTTGTCAAAACTCGAAGGGATGCTTGTTTATGCATCCATAAAATTGTGTGGGTTAACTAGATTTTTTTCTCATAAAATCTTATATTTAGATAGCTGGGTACTTGGGGTTGCAGTGAAGAAGTTTTAGATTTTTAAAGTATTTCTTTGATATGAAAACTCTCGAGAGATATTTCAATGATATTTTCCCAAATATTTCAAGTCCCAATAGGGATTTTTTATTATCTTTATATATATATATATATATATATGCGAATGCATGCATCAGAACAATAAAACTAATTATGAAAAATTAAAAATTATTTTGTAATGGAAGATCGTATCTATCATATCTCAATTTGTGTGTTTTATCAGTGAACTGGTTATATAATTGTATAAATGTTGTACATGCAAATATCTGTGTGTGTATTTGAATCTGGCCACACGTGTATATTATAATCAATTCATAATTTGAAGTTTATGAGGAAAAAATATATTATGTGCACATCTTTTAGCCTTGTGATGGAGATAATTCACTTGAAAATACTAGTGATTTCATCTCTCAGACTTCAATAAATTTAATAAGTAAAAAAGGCCTATTTATTCTATTATAATGAATATTATCCAGGATCTCAAAATTCAATATAAATCTAGATATATTTTAGAAATGAAAAAAAATTTCTCCATTTGAAACTTAAGGGATGTATAATATGACTCACATCTGTGCCGGTCATCTTTTATTTTTGGGGGTAACAGTAAAGTTTTAACAAAGCACAACATCTGAACATCCAAGAAGGAATGTTAAATATTAGAATATCATGTGGATATCCATATCTTTTAGATCCTCTAACATCTTTTGATTTTTATAATATCTTTAAGTTATTATTATCTTGTGCATTTTTATTTGATTTAATTGTTATATCCATATTTATAGAAAGAAAGCACCTCAGTTGTATCATACACATTGAGATGAAAAAGCTTTCAATTCTCTCATTCTCTCCTTTTAGGTTTCTCTCTTCTCCTCTCAATCTCTATTTTTCATAACAAAACTATCATTATTTCCCGATTATCTTTTTAAACATTTGATTAAATAGAATTTTTGCTAAAAGTTGATTATTAAATATATAAGATCTAACTACCACGCATCATATTGAGGACTAGGGGTGACAAATTCAAGCTGCGTGAATAAGATATCAAGCTATACCATTGCACTGCACTGCGTACGGAAAGCTTTTTATTATATTGCACCAAGTGGCTAGCACAATTTAACCCACAAAGTCATGACGCGGACGCATAACACAACCATAAAGAAATAGAAAAAAGCAAGAGAGCTATAAAAGCCTCGTCATCAACAACACAAGAGGACAACTCACACACTTGCACATCCACACATGATAGCAGAAAATGTATGGAGAATTATTCAAGTACAACATCCACTCTCTGTTTATTATAAATTATATTAATGTAAAAGTTTTCACATGGGTTCCAATTGCATCAACATAATAGCCACCTCTTCCATGGAATCCAATCACGACACCTCCTTCTGTTGGCATGGATGAGAAAGAAGTGCCGCTAACAGTGCCAAAAGATCCGTGAGTGTTCAAGTTCGTTATGAAAGATAGTGACGTGATCACCTTATGGTCCTTATAACATCCGAAAGTCCCAGCTATGGATGTCAGATACTCGGATGGCCCATTGATCTCAATCTACACATTTGCCAATTTCATCACACAAATATGGAAAAGAATTTGCTCGGCCAAATATAAGAAAGAGAAATTAAAGAAATGATTGATATGATTTGTTATTTTTTTTTCAACCCATAAAAAAAAAAAACTAGACTTATTATTCTTTCCACACCGGAGTCGTGTGGATCCTCACCACCGAACTTTCCATACACTTCACCACTGGCATCTTTAAAAGCGACGGAATTGATACGGCTTCCTGCAGCACGATTATCTCTTTTATCCATTTTTCCACCTTAAAACTAAAAGGTCGAGCTCCCCCGGATCCTCCCCAAGGCCCGCATGTGATACTTGAATCCTGCACCAACATCAATATTCTTTGAGTGTGCTGCTAACAAGTTTTGGTAAGGTCTTTTTAATTTTTTTTTTTTTAAAAATTTTCAACGTAAGGCTTGTTTGTTGATAACGTTGTACATTAATCCATATAGCAGAGTAACCCATGTAATGGGATAATACTTGTTGTATTTTCAGATTGAACAATCTATAATGAGAATCATAAAGCAACTATTCTGCTAAAATCCATCATCAAAATTTAGAAGGTGAGGAGGGCATGTTTTTAGATAAGTAGGTATATATTTTGAATTGCATTTGGTTATATTTATTATTATTTTTATACATGTTTAACTAGTTTTATATATTTTCTTCTTATCACTAAATTATAAGATAAAAAAGAATTTTTACTACAAAGTTAACAGCTTTTCCTTAAGTTTGACTCTTAGAATACTCCATGAATTTTTATTATGTCAATCCCTTACACTTGCGGGAGCAATCACAAGGCCTAATATTTCCAAGCCATCATTAAAAGACTTCACTACTTTATCTTGAGAATAATAAAATCTAATGCATGGTTTAATAGCATATTATAGTGGAATAGATTACTTACTGCTGGTTGCACAAAAACACCAATTGCATCAAGATAGTAACCACATCTCCCATGGAACCCGACAATGTTATTTTCTGATATCGAAACAGAGAAATCCTCGCCGGTAGAATTTCCAAAAGGTCCATAACTTTTGAGATTTGTAGTAAATGAGAGGGACGTGATTACTAATAAGTCCTTGTAAATTCCATAAGTTTCCGGTTATGGATTTCAAAAGCTCTGAGGGCCAGCTAAATTCAATCTGCACATGGACAAGGAAAGTAAAATAGCAACAATGATGATGATGATGATTATTATTATTATTATTGTTGTTGTTGTTGTTGTTATTGTTGTTATAAGCAGTGATAATTTATTAATAAATTATTAACCAAAGATACCTGTATTACTTCACTGAATTCATTTGGGTCCCTGCCACCAAATGTCCCTGAAACATCACCACCAGCATCTTTGAATGAAATGGACTGAATATGTTCTCCTACATTCATGGTTATTCCAGCAATCCCACGATCAGTCTTGAAACTCCAATGGTCGCCACCTGGACCTCCCCATGGCCCTAATGAAATGATTACCCTCAAAGATGCCTAAGTAAGTGAAAACCAATCAACTCGTGAGACCATGAGAATGTAATTATCAGAGAAGGAAAAAAGATAAAACCTGATAGATATATAATAGAGTCATACCATTTGGATTGGATGAACAGTTTGAGAGTTGATATGCGCGCAGCTCTAAATCTCTTTGTTGTCTTGGTGTATGGCTCTCCTTTTTGTGGCCTATATATAGACAGATTGCAAAGCCATGCACAGTGAGGACGTCCCTATTAATCCATTGAAAACACGTGAATTATATATATGTCATTGTGATGACGTACTATACAAGGAGCAAATGTGAAAGTTTGAAATGCGCACACACAATATAATGCACATAGGGACAATATGTACAATTGTTTGAGTTAAAAATATTAAGAGCTCTAGTAAAAGATATTTATGGCTTCATTAATCTACAAACCCTCACGGTTTGGAGTGGGTGAGAGTCCTTGCTCATATAAAAATGGGTTGCGCCCAACCTAACTCATTTCCTTCCCCCAACCCATGTGGGTTGTGTTGGCCCATATTTTCACCTTTAGTTTGAGCATTTATAGAAAACCAATATTATCTAAATTATTTTTAATTAATTAATAATCAACTTCATATAAAATAAAAAATATACATTTAATTAATTTTTTCATATAACTAATTTTTTAGTTAATTAATATTATCTAATAAAATTATTGTTAAAAGTAATATACACTTGAATAATTCCTCACATCCCTTATCAAAGGAGTTTCTTACATCTAATAAACTATGAAAAATTGTTCACAATAATACTTTCTCACGGTAGGAATTTTGAGAGAGTTCTCATGACATAAAGACTGCGAGAAAACTTTATATCTACTTGATTTTATTATATCTATTATTAATTTTATTTGTAGTAAAAATAAACTATTTCTATGATTAATAATCAACTTCATATAAAATATAAAAATTTAACTTAAAAAAAATTTTTATAAATAATAAAATATTTTTTAGTTAATTAATATTATTTAACAAAATTATTGAAAAAAGAAATATACATTTGAATAATTTTTCTCATAATGACCATCAAGGGCAGGTTCTCACAACTAATAAATTTGAGAAACATTCTAAATAATAATTTCTCACACGTACTAAATTGAGAGAAGTTCTCTTGACATATATGTTGTGAGAATACTTGAAAGGATTAAGACTTTCTCATGGAACAAAATTGAAGAGAGGTTCTCACAGTATATGAGCTGTGAGAGGTGCTTGCAGAGCATGGTTAACCACTGATAGGATTCCCACACAAAACCATATGAAAAGAACTTCTCACAGACAAAAAATGTGGGAACTCGTTCTCATGATGGTATATTTGTGAGAAGGCCCTCCTATCGTTAGAATGATTTCTCACAGTGTATAGGCTTTGAGAAACACTTGAAGATTTCTCATGGAAAGCTATCTGAAACAAATTCTCACGGAAAAAACAGCATCGGAACTTTCTCATTTAGGAAAGTTTCACACAGAAATATGTGAGAATTTCTTTTACATATTCTCCATGAGAAGTTTGTTTTTTTCTATGTTTTGACAACCATCTTTTTTATTTCTGATGCCTGATGGCTATGAGAAAGTTGCAGCCAAATTGGTGCCATAACGCGCCATAGTTCTTTGTAGATTTTCTCACGCCATTGTCATAGATAGTTCCTTCATATTATAGCCATGAGAAAAATGTGTGAGAATTATGCATAAACCAATTTTTTGTGAGATATGCTGCAAGAAATTCCTCATATTTCAATGGCTGAGGAAAATTTTCATGAGAAAAAGACTATTTTTTTTTTCTAATGATAAGCCAACGCAGCAATGTGAATGTTCGACTCTCGTGGTCATGTACTCACCTGGCCGGGCCATTCAATATGACTCACCACAATATTAAATTCCACTACTGCATGATGTTGAGCCAGATTTGAAATAAAATTCTAAAACAAAATGTTGATGTGTGCATGTAATTAAGAAGTAATACAATGATATATATTAACAAGTAAATATAGGTTTTAAATAGTAATGCAGTTGATTAATAATAAAAATTCATGCCGCAAGATAAATCCGTTACTTGTTAAGCTGTTATCATTAAAATCAACTACATTACTTCTTAAAAAACTTTACTTTACTTGTCAATTTCCTTGTGTTATAGTAGTTGCGCGTTCGTCCAGTATTTTGCAGCTAACTTCGTTACAAATCATGGAATGACTATAAATAGTAGCTAAAACACCAGCATTGTGGTTTGATCCCAAACATCTATTAAAAATACTCTCCTTTCAAAATATTTTATTAAAATAATTGTGAATATTGATTTATGCAGTTATAAATATGGGAATGTTAGTTACGAATCAAACATTTAAAACATAAGAGTGCTCTATACATTGATCAATATTAAGCTAGTAAAAAGCAAAATCTTCTACCTAATAAAAGTAGAAGGAGAATTGACATTTGAGGATAAAAGACAAAATTAATTTCATTATAGGACCCAAAAATTGAAAAATTTCAAATCTGGACCAAATATCATTTACTGTATTGAGCCTAAGTGGGAATTTACAAAATTACTCTTATCATAACAAGAGTAATATCAATCATTTAAAAATCATAATCACGGAAAATAATACCAAATCATAAAATTGATTAAAAAATTGACAAGGTTATATTTTCATTTTTCCATTATAAAAAGAGGAGGAGTGTTGGTTACAAATTAATGTTTATGAAATTGCAAATGAAGGGATAATAACATAAGAAATGAAAGGGTTTCAGTAGTTTTGAATGCGCAATTATTTGCCAAAAAAAAAAATGTTGATGAATATGGTTCCACAATAAGTGATGCTAATGTCCGATATCTTTATTGGACAAGTAGAAGTTGAACTACTTTCATTGTTTTCTTTCTTTTTTTTTTATTGTTTTTGGACGGAACAATTTGAACTACTTTCTTAAAATCTGAAAATAGATGTTTCAGTTTTTAGGAGACCTTTTTTCTTTTTGGGGGGGTTTAAGGTTGTGTTTAGATTAAAAGATGCAAAACTGAAGTTATGGAATATAGGAGAGTGGGTAGTTAGGAATAATTAAAATTTATTTAAGATATTAATATTATCTATTAGGAATATTTGAATAAGGATTTACCCATTTTGTATAAGGATTTATTATTTATTTTATGGTTATCTTGGATTTATAATTTAGACTTGAATT